GCGACAATAACCAGGGTCTACCCCGGCCAGCAGACTGATTCCGAGAGTCGTTTCCGGCGCGCTGTCTCACTCGCACCAACACGGGACGCCCCGTGAGTGAGAGAGATGCGACCGCAACGACTTTCTCAGTCTGCAGCACGGCCAGCACGGGCCAGTGCGGGGCCCGATGCGAAGCCTCTTCTCTTCCCCGCGGTGAAGCGGGCAAGTCAGTATCCGAAAAGTAACTTCATTTCACGCGAATGGGGGCATCTCCAGGCCCATCCCTTGCCCCCGCCCCGCGCTCCCGTCCACCGCGACGCGACCCGACGCGACCCAGCGATCTGGTGACAACATCCACAAGGTGGCGGGAAACCGGCTGATTCGATTTGAGAGTGGAGCGGCACCAGTGGCACCCCCTCTCACTCTTGGGAGCCGCAATCAAATTGGCGCCGTTATTTCCTGCGAGACGCGCCGAAAGAAGCCATCCAGGAGACTCAGAGCGACTCCGAGAGACTCCGAGAAACTCCAGAAAGAGACAGCAGTTCCTTACAGCGAGTCGAGCCGCTCTGCTGCACTGCCTCGTTACGCTCGCCCAGAATCTGGGTCCTCTCGGGGACCTTCTCTCTCTCGTCCGCAATCGAAAAAAAATTTGAGATGCCGGTATTCGAATACCGCACTGTGCAAATGTTAGAGACGTTCGATCGCATTTGCACAGTGCGGTGTTCGAATACCGGCATCTCAATTTTTTTTTCGATTGCCTTTCCTTTGTGGAACGGTTCGAGGCCATCAGAGCGGAGCCGTGTAGAACAGTCCCACACGTCGGGGGTTCGATTCCTGACAACCATTAACATTTAATTTTACTGCCTCGCCCAGTGTGGTTGAAAACCGTGACTTCAGCCAACGAACTGCGTGTGCCGTGGTGGTCTAGGGAGTAGAGGCGTCGCTTCTCCGTGCTGAGGTCGGCGGTTCGACTCCCCAAACTTCTTGTGAAATTTTGACCGGGTCGGTCCATTACTGTCGCGTCAAGAGCCCGCCTCACGCCGCTCCATTCGTCATGGGCCGTGGTGGGCGAGCGGCAAAAGTCGTGCGGTCCCGGCAGTAGGGTCCTGGGATCGACTCCCATCATTTCATTACATTTTTCGACTGGCTTCCTTCCACTGCAACTCAAACCCGTCGTCCAACACGACGCCAGACGTACAAGCTTGATAGCGTAGTGGTCAGAGTCACATTCACCTGGCCACTCCGCTGGGGTGTCTAAAAAGCAGCTGCGCTTCGGCGGGTTGGCCTCGGCACTGGAGCGACGGAGTATTTTGATCCGTCAATCCAGCCACCCGTAATTGGTCGCGGGTGGGTCCTCCTTGATTCGTCGGGAGGAGATGATAAGTCCTTTGAAGCTGGCCCTTAAACAAGCTGTATGTTTGGTAGAGAGCGCCGGACAGCGGGTGTACATTTGGTACAGACCACCCCGCGAAAAGCAAAGGCTCTCAAGGCAGAGAGAGACTGTCAAACCCGCCCTTCAAGCCCGGCCCATATACAGACGAGAACCCCTGGGGTCGCCGCCTGTAAAGCACCGGTTCCCCCGATCCACCGAAGTTGCAGGCGGCCCTCCGACCTGTGTGCGGAGGTGGGAGAAGGGCCCCCCTTTTTTCTTCTTTTTTTTTCCGATTTTTGTATCCGGGGGGGGGGGATGCATTGCGCCTAGGCTTTCTGTATCCCCCTCCGGCCGGCCGAGGGGATACTCCTCGCCTAGGCTCTTTGTATCCGGGGTGATGCATTGCGCCTAGGCGACGTGCACCCTCCTCCGGCCGGCGGGGGATACAATAAGCCTAGGCGAAATGTACCCCGGGGTACTATGGCCCTAGGCGTTGTGTTCCCGGGGGTACTCTGGGTCGGGGGGTACACTTACACGCCGACACCGGCCCGCGGCGCGCGCGTCGTAGCTTTCAAGCCTATGCCTCTGACGAACTATAGCAACGCGGAGCCTCGCACGCTTTGCGAAGACACGGAGACTCGCAAATTTATCGAGTAAGCTTGACCTGAGAAAAAGTCTGTTCCCTGAACCAAAAAAATTGACTTTTGCAATAAGTGAGTTTACTTGAAACATTGAATCGCTCAATGCGAGTACATTATGCTATTCCAGAAACGGCTTTCCCGGGTGCAGAGCGGCCTACCGGCCGCAGGTCTGCTTGACTGCGCATGCATGCATGCTGCTGGGAGACCGAGGCTGCGGCATTCATGTGCCTCTCTCTCTCTCTCTCTCTCTCTCTCTCTCTCTCTCTCTCTCTCTCTCTCTCTCTCTCTCTCTCTCTCTCTCTCTCTCGCTCGGCGTGGCCTGCGTCGGGGCAGACTGCCGACGCAATCAAATTATTTGTCTCTGGATTGTTTACGAACCTTTGTCATCGGCCCCGCGCACGCACACGCGCCATTCAGAATCGCGCGCGGTCGCACACACACACCCCTGCACACACACACACACGCACACTCGCGAGCGTTATACTTTTGTTTTTGGACCGGGGGGGGGCGGACACACGGGCACTTAAATGTTTCACTGGTTCCTGTTGTTTTCATCGATTGGAGGAGACTACATTGCACCACACGTGACTGCAGTCGGCGGAGCGTGTGCGGACAAACACACACACACACACACACACACACACACACACACACCAGGGACGATGTGCCGCGGGACGTATTGTCCAGAAGCCGAATGAAAACCATTCAAACGCTGAAAAGTTGGAGGGTACACGCCTAATATTTGCACAGTTTTGCACGCGGTCTTATGCAAATTTAAATAAATGCGAACTGCCTTACCGATCGGTTTCCATGAGCCGCGGTGGCTGAGAGTGTAGGGGTGTTGGTCTCCCAACCCGGTGAGTCCTGGTACCTCAAGTGCGCAGGTTCGATTCGAGTCCCATTTAGCGACTCTGAAGCTCAAAACGCGTCCGGGATTTCGACCGCCTCCACCAGTCTTCTGGTGAATCCACTGTGTGACTCGGCCCGTGTGAGGCACACTGTGTGGCCGCGTGGATCGGAAAGCGGCAAAGCGGCAAAGCGGCGCAGCGGATCGAGGTTGGAGGTGATGATGAATCACAGCCACGTCGCTGCCCCGGGCCCTGCCCCGCTGCCTCGCTGCCTCGCCGCCCCGCTGCCCAGGCGCCGCCCGCAGCGGCGGTACACTCCTGGCCCGCCGGCTACATTTATCACTTGCTGGGCGGCGGGGGCGGCGGGGGCGGCGGGGGCGGCGGGGAGGCGCCAGCACCACTCTCTCCAGCCAAAGATGATTTTTCACAATCCGCAGAGGAACGCGATACAGTGCGGAGTAATGCTGCGCACAACGCGCGTCCCTCACACGCAGACACACGCCGGCAAACACACACTCACACACACACACACACACACACACACAAACACGAGCGCGCTCGCACCCCAAGTCACACGCAGCAGCGCTCACACACGCGCGCGCCTGAAAGATGTTGGGGTTGCGCACCTCTGCCACTCGCGATTTGAACACACACGTGTGCTTGGGCGTGTGTTTTTCTTGAATGGCGCCGTTCATGCCCGATAAACCGATGGCGACGATGGCCGACGCAACCGTCCGGTCGTCTATTCCATCCGCAGCGAAGGTGCTAGTGAAGTGTGCCAGTGTAGTGGGCCAGTGTAGTGGGCCAGTGAGCCAGCCGGCACCAGGCCGGGCTGGAAGGGTATCGGCCGGCCTCGGCCGCAGCGCCACCGACTTCGCTTTGCTCTGCTCTGCTTTCCCAGCATTTCATCTTCCGACTGGTGAATATTGTGATTGATGGCTCGCCTGCCTGCCTGCCTGCCTGCCTGCCTGCTGCCGGGCTGCGTGGCCAGCGAGCCGCGCTGCGTGTGTGTCGCCCGAAAATCGAAACGAGCTTTTATTTCCATCGCCTTGCTCGACCTTACGTATTTGTGTGTGTGTGTGTGTGTGTGTGTGTGTGTGTGTGTGTGTGTGCAAAAGGGGGAAGGCGTGCCTGTTGTGTAACACCTGCCCAACCGTTCCTGGCTGCATGGCCTGCTGATGTAACATTGGGCGCAAACTCGCTTCCCTCCCTATTGTCTCCCTCCCTCTCCCTCTGGTCCTGGTTCTGGTTTGGATTTCCCGCCCAGTCGCTCCGCTTTCGACGCGATCTCCGATTCGTTCATCTCCGATGCGTCGCAATGCGCAATGGATGGCGGTTTTTAACGATCTGCCCCATTAATTTTGTGAGACATGAGCGCGCGGTGGTCTCGCAAACCGAGAATAAGACTCTCGGAACACAAGCGAACCGTTTATGAGTCGACTTCGCTCCACACTACCTACTTATGACGCAAGAAGGGGGAATATTCCGTTATGAATCACGCCGGACAAACGCACACTGTGAAAACCTTACAAACTGATTTAGGCCTTACAAAGAAAACCAGCTTGTTATAACAAATTTACGAACTATTTCTTCGTATAACAAAGTAAATTAGCTATGCTCAAAACATTTCGTAAGGCTTGAAGCGTGCGCGTGTTGTTATGAGGTGTTTTTGCTGTGTTTCTGTGCCTGACTGACGAGCCGCATTGATTCCAGAGACAGAGCAGCAATCTGCACGGAAAGGGGGAGGGGGGGGGGCTGTTTCCGGCGCCTCCTTCCGGCCCCACATCCGACGAGCACCGCGCCGTCAAGCCGAAACGAAATCCGAACGTGGATCTGGAACGCGAATCTGCGTTTCCTTGCGAAAAAAGAGAGAGGGACACAGGGAGCATGCGTCCGGCGCGACGCCGAGTGGCCCGGCCGCCCGGCAGGCTGTCTCTCTCGCACTCGTGGGCCGTGCGGTTGGAGTGCGAGAGAGACAGAGCGACAACACTGGCGCGGCGTCAGCATGGTTTATTTGTGCGCGGACCATCATAACGGCACGCCAGACGCGCGATGCAACATTCAGGGCTTCTCCGCCGTGCCGCCGTGCCACCGTGCCGCCGTCCCCGGGGCAGGTGGAACAGCAGTGCACACCGCGCGCAGCAACGCTCCGAGTCCGCCTCAGTGCTCGACGGGCACCCTGGTGACGGCGGCGATCCAGGGCAGGAAGCTCGTGATCCGGGTGCACACGTGGGCCTTGCTCAGCCCGCACAGGTGTCCGTAGCGGTGGGACACCACCCCCACCAGCATGGGCCGCCCGTCGGCCGCCTCCACTGTGAGGGGGCCGCCGCTGTCGCCCTGCGGCACACCGGGCACACTAGGACACGCCCTGGACACGCCGCACCCAAACAGGCCGCCAGCATAGGGCCATTGTTCAAGCGGACGCCGCGGGCGGCGACACGGACTCTGTGCGAGCCACTCACGTTGCAGGAGACCTCGCCCCGGAGGCCGCGGACGCACAGGAAGTGGGGCGGCAGCTTGCGCTTCAGGATGGCCTCGGCCTCCTCGGCGTGCAGCACGCGCTCCCTGGCGAAGCGCAGCACGGCCGTGCCCTTGACGGGCCGCTGGTCTGCAACATCCGGGCGGTTGGCGGCGGCGTCCTCGGCGGCGTCCTCGGCGGCCAGCAGCAAGCAAGCGCACCTACCCTCGTCGGAGGTCTTCCCCCAGCCGCTCAGGGTGGCCACCGTGCCGGCGAAGTCCTCGGCGCGGTGCCGCCAGGCGGGCAGGCGGACGGGCCGCACCCTGTCTAGGACGGCGAGGACGGCGATGACGACCAGAGCCACTCCAACTTAAGATGTGGCACGCCCTGAAGCTAGGCGCCTTTTGTAGCCCCCTCCAGCACCGCCACGGTGGGTGGGGTGGGGAGGGCTAACATTTCGCACGTTCAAAAGACCCCACAGGGTGCCCAACAGAGCGGTTTCACCAAGATCCTTTTTTTCTTTTACAGTTGGAGTCAATGTCACGGGCTCGACGTGCTCCACGAGTGTTGACATGTCGAAAGGCCCAACGTTAGCGGCACGATCAGGAAGAAGGCCGCCCACTGACCTATCGGAACACGCCCTGCGTGGAGCGTTGTGGTGCTTTGTTCGGCGCCCTGGTGGGGCAGAGGCAGGGGCCCGGAGGGACAGACGCCCGAGGGACAGACGGCGCGCTCACCGTTGAGGCGCACGGGCCGCTCCAGGCGGATGAGGGCGAGGTCGTGGTGGCCGGGCTGGCCCTGGGAGTACATGGGGTGCAGCAGCACCAGGCCCGTCTCGGCGCGCTGCTGCGCGTCGCGCATCGTGGGGTGCGAGCCGAGAAACACCTGGATCTTGTGCCTGTGGCAGGCGAGGACGACATGACACGTCGGAGAAAAAGTGAAACACCGGCCGGTGTTGAACCCTGGACCTGACCCTTCGCGACAGCAGTGCGCCGCCGTGATGAGCCAGCGGTCGGACAGCAGGGTGGCGCCGCACAGCCCCACGCCGGCCGCGCCGCCCGCCGCGCCGCGCCGCGTCACCAGCAGCCCCGCCTGGTACGGGAACTGCCCCGGCGCAGCCTCCGCGCCCCCCACCACCAGGGACCGCACGCCGGGCAGGCCAGGCTCGTCGGGCACGCCGGGCTCCCAGGGAGCTACAAGTAAGTTGGGCCCGACTAACTCGATTCTAGAACGGCAGCCTGGAATTTGTGTCACACGGTAGCACGGGAATAAATAGGAAAAACTCCGTGGGGGGAGAGATGGTGCTCCGTGGCCCGGTCCGAGATTCTGCATGCAGGTTGAATTTCCATGGCTCTGCTGGGAGTGAGCACTTGGGCCTAGCATATGCTGCGCACCTTTGCCGGGGATGTCCTCGCCGTCGTCCCCCTCTTCGCGGCCCCTGTCTCGCCTGCGCCGCTTCATGTCTTCAAAGGTGGCCGGAGGGGCGCCCGCGACGGCCCAGGACGGCCCAGGACCCCCAGCGGGGCCTGGGCAGGCCTGGCCGCCTCGCAAGGCCGCCACAGGTTGCCAGGCAACGAACAAAACGTCCTGTTGTCGAGGCGGCTGGGTCGCACCCGTCGCACCCGTCGCACCGAGACATCCAGCGGTGCCACCTTGGGTGCCACCTCGCGGTGCATGAGGCAGAGAACCAAGTTTGCTTCATTACCACCCAACACCTTGGCCTTGCTGCTGAGCCCGCCTGGCTGCCTTGGCTTGGTTTGGAGTACATAGTTCGCACTTTATTCCTCACCGGGGGCGGTGCGGGACGCCCTGAGCATTGACCCCTCAGAGGATGCTTCGCGTAGCCCAGCAATTATGGATATTGTCCCGTCATTGGTCAGGGGCTGGATTATAGGATTCGACCTGCATCGATCGGAAGGTGAGACCGGGCAGGGCAGGGCAGGGCAGGGCTGGGTCGAGGCGAGAGAATCTAGTTCGGAGTGGCGACTCGAAAGGACTGGCAAAGTGGAGCGGGGCGAGGTGGAGGGGGAGCGCCCCCGGGGCTGCTCGAGGGCAGACAAGTTTGTTTTGCCGTCAACGTGCTCCCCAGGCACCGGCACGCCGCCGCGCCGCCCCGGCACCGCCTCGCTCCAACCTCGACCTGGGGCTGGCCTGCCTGCCTGGCTCGTGGGGGCGAGACAGCGCGCGAATATTTGAACGCGGCCCGACACGTTTTCAGAATTCAAATAATATTTACGATGCACTCGACATTCGTGATGATTGAATAATGCACGAGCACCTGAAAGCACGGACGACGCCGCGTCGCGGGCAGCCCCTCCCATTCTCTTCTTCTCGTGTCTTTCTTTTAGTTTGCTTTATTTGTTGTCACCGGTTTCTTTCGCTCTCCCTCTTTCTTCCGCTCCCGGTTCGGGACTAGACCCGGTCCACCGGCGCGACGCGGGGGCGACGCGGGGCGGCTGGCAGGTGGCGGTCCCTGGAGCCGCGGGGGCGGCGCGGGGGCGGCAGAAGGGTGGCGGGTGGCGCCGAGAAAGAGACAGGAGGGCCTGACAGCCAATTAACCTCGCGACGCATGCGTGAAATTCCCGATTCCCCAAGTAATAGGCAATAGGGACGCCACCTTTACCTCCTCGCGGTCTGGCCAAGTGCATGCCGCCACGCCGCGCCACGCCACGCCGCACCACGCCGCCACGCCCCTGGAACGAACCTGCAGGAAAGTCGCTTCTCCGAAGAGGCGTTTGGCACATGAAAATTGATTTACTAGCAAACATACGGAGACAAGTATACAAGACAAGAGTCACGAAGGTGTCTGCAACGTAGTTGGTTTCGTTGAGCCTCCTCGCCAAAGTAACTACAAGTGACAGAAATAAATTTATAGTGGTTGTAAATGATCCTGGATGCCATCATTTTTTTTTTTTTGTCTTCTGGGGGAAAGTATTGATTTTTTTTGTGCGGGCGCTTGCTAGGGGTGATATCCCGGCAAGCAACCAGTTGAGCGGCAGAACCCCTCACCCGCGGCCTGCACTGCACGCCCGCTGGGCTGCCGAGCGCTCTGTCTCTCTCACACCCTCACGGAGAGCCCCGTGAGTGCGAGGGAGGCAGCGTGGCGAAGCGGCACCACTGAATCACTGGGCGGCTGCATCCTCGGCGCCGCATCCCTGCAGAGCATGTTCTAATGAGGACTCGGGGCGCCTCGTCATCACGCGCTTTTTATTGCGTTAAAGAGGTCGGCCCGATCACGGCACGGCACGGCGTGGCACAGTACGGCGTGGCGCGGCACGGCACGGCGCGGCACGGCCCCACCGGCAGGCAGTGCGTGTGTCGCCGCACAGTGCCGTGCCGCCGTGGCCTGATGGCCTCTTGTCCAGGAACAATGCGCTCGTTAGCAGCTCGGACTATCCCCTGGCCGCCCTCGTGCCGCCAGCGGACTGATTCCGGCGTCGTTGTCGTCGCTCTGTCTCTCTTGCTCTCGCAGGGCGTCCCGTAGAGGTGCGAGAGAGACAGAGCGACGAAAACAACTCTCCCGAACGACGGTGCCTCGTCGCTGTCTCTCTCGCACCCCCTGCGGGGCGCGCCGTCAGTGCGAGAGAGACAGCGCGCGGCATCGACGCGCAGTGCCGCGTCCGCCGCGGGGGACGGCCCGCCCCGCCGCCCCGCCGCCGCCCTTTCAAACCGCGCGCAGATTCAACTTAAATTTTTTGCCACTGAAAAAGAATTCGTGAGTGACATTTTATTCGAGTTTGTTGGCGGCCGCGCAGGGAAGGAGCTCGGCGACGTGGGTAGGGGAGGGGGAGGGGAGGGGAGGGGAGGGGGGGGGAGGGGAGGGAGGAGAGGGAGGGGAGGGGGAGGAGGAGGGGTAGGGAGGGGGAGGGGGAGGGGAGGGGGAGGGGAGGGGGAGGGGGAGGGGGGGAGGGAGGGGAGGGGGAGGAGGAGGGGAGGGGAGGGGGAGGGGGAGGGGAGGGGGAGGGGAGGAGAGGGAGGGGAGGGGGAGGGGAGGGGTGGGCGACTGGGTGCTGAGCGTGAAAAGAACACAGAGCGGCGCCGTCCTCTCCGTACTTCGTATTCTGCGGGTGTCGAACTGTTAACTTTTGTATGGACAGGAAGAGCGCCAAGTTGAATTAGTCGAATGCAGGCTGACTGGCATGCCAGATTCGCGTCCGGCCTCCCTCATCCCCCCCCCCTTTCCACGCCCTTGTCCCCGCCTCAATTTTTGGACGCGGTGGCGGTGACGTCCGCGACTAACGCCATCATTTCAATCCCAGTGTGGTGGGCTTCACGCGCCACTTTTTCGTATCGTTTTCGCGGCGGACACTCGCTGCTTCCTTGCTGGTCGTCGACGACCCCGCTTTCGGCCGGAGAGGCGCGTTCCGAGCTGGCGCTGCACCCAAAGAAATGGTTTCTTAATTTTTGATTTTCTTGGTTTTTTGTAAGAAAAATAATCGTGGCACAAGAGAAATTTTCTTTAATCAAGAAAAAAAATAATTGGGCTAAGAAATTTTTTTTTGCAAAAACCAAGATAAGTTAAATTTTTCTTGATCCAAGAAGTCATTTCTTTGGGTGTGGACTATACGGTGCACGTGTTTTTCTGAGGACTGCAAAGCGGCCAGCCATTTCGCGTGAAACGATTTCTCTGCTCTTTGATGAAAGGAAGACTGGTTGAGCTGATTCGCCGATTGGCAACTAACTCGATTCCACTGTTAAAATGACGCAGACAGGCTCGAGCACAGTCCATTAGCAAGTGCTCGTGCGGCTGGGCTGGCCCGGCTGGCCCCATGGCGTCCCCTGGCTCCCTCCACCGGTAGCCCCAGCCCCAGCCCCGCCCCAGGAGGGGGCGCGCTTAGCAATCTCGGTCAAATGAATCACTTTGGCCAGCCTACTACCGTCTTAAGGGCTTGCTGACGCAGGCGGCCAGGTCGGCCGGCCGGGCATCGGCCGGGCAGGTGAGCCAAGAGCCGTGTCCGGGGGCGTCGCGCAGAGCACTGTCTTCCCTGCACTGTGCGAAAAAACCACAGTGAATCCCGTTAATTTTTTTGCCGGGATTTACTGTAGTTCAGAACACAGGACATTCCGTGCCTGGCTACGGTATCTACTGTACCAGGTACAGGATATTCCGTACTCCACTCCCGTGGTACAGTAAATCCCGTAGAAAGTACAGTAGATCCTGTTAAAAAAGTACAGTAAATCCTGTACTCTGAACTACAGTGACCGCTGTACTAATCACTACAGGATTTACTGTGATTTTTTCCCACAGTGTGCCCCTCTGTCCCGACGCACGGAAGAGACCTGTCCCAGTACATCGAGGACTGTAGGTATTCATTTTGTTCGACGAAGATTTGCCGCGTAAATTACGAAGTACATTTTCTGTGGGCGCGCTCGCTCATAGTACACTGACTTCACATTCGTCGAATGGACAGGTTGATGTCTGTCGTTCGTAGGAAACATGATGCAATTATTTTCTTTGCGAGGCCTAAAGTAGAAGGAAAAATTTAAACACTCGTGTAAATTTTGTCAAAATGTTCACGCACCTCGAAAAGCGGAGATTGCGCAAACTTATTCTGATATTGATGGGCTCCTTTGTGTCCCCGCGCGACGCACCAGTCCAGTCGTGCAAGTCCCGTCACCGAGTCGCGTCGGGCGGCGCGAGGAGGGCCTTTGACTTTGGAGATGTCGCCGGTCGCCAACAGGCACTCCACGGCCGATGCGATGAATAAAACGAACCTCTGCCCCGCCCCGCCCCGCCCCGCCCTCGAAACAATGCGCGGCCGAATTAAAGGAGTGTCGCGGCTAATAAATATGAATGCCGGTGGCTTTGGCTTCGCAGTGGCGGGGTGGCCGAGCGAGGGGGGGGGGGGGCACCTCTCGCTATCTGCTCTCATCGAATTACGTGGCTCTAATTGGGAGCGTTGCCTGAATGTACAAGCAGTGCCACATCTGTGTGCCTCACACACACATGCACACGTGTCCTGTCGGGACCAGCACCCTCCGCAGGGACGGCCGGCAAGGCACGCTGCCGGTGCGAATCGCGGTAAAGCCCTTCAGTGTGGCAGCGCGGCGCACTGCAGCGGCGGCTACACTGCACTGCGCTCCCTAAGTGCCGCTGCCGCAGCGGAAGGATTAAACGGAGCGAGGAAAAGACACTCGAGCAATGC